GGTGGGGGGTGGGGGGGGGGGGGGGGGGGGGGGGGGGGGGGGGGGGGTCATGAGCCCCCTTCGATTTCTGAAAAAAAAGTCACACCAACGGTGCCCTCTTGAAATTAGAATTTTGATAAGCTGAACCATAGTTTTAAACCGTACCAAGTGTTAGCCCGCTAAAATACCGGAATTTTCGAAGCCCTTCAGCGGGCCCCGAACCCCACGCCATGGGGGAGGGGGTCGGCTTTGCTTCCGCGAACCCCCCCCCCCCCCCCTTCAAATAATCCGGCTCCGCCCCTGAAATGTATCATCGACGGATGGCACTGGACTATTTCAATATTTTAAAGTACAGTCCTGGAGCTGCAAAAACATGTAAAATTCGCTGCATGATCATCAATCTTCGAATTCGTTTAAATTAATAACAAAGCAGGTTAACTAAATTCGACATGGATTTTATTTGCATTTTATATGGCGACATATACATTATCAAATGTGCTTTCAGAAAATGGAACCATTTTGAAAAAGAATATCCTTTAGACTTTAAGGGCAATCCTTTCTGCTGTCAACGCATTTGTCGCTCTTCCGAGAGACCCGGATTTTGCCATAAGGACAGCCGCATCCTATGATACACTGCATGGTGCAGAACATGGCTTGTGGTTCCCCGCAGATGCTTGGACACGCGGAATTACAGCCACTCCATATCAAGTCCCCGGTGCAAGTACCCTTATCTTCAACTGTGGGAGATATAAAATGGAAATGGTAAATAAGTCTGTGAGAGCAGAACATAGTTCAATGGCGCATATAGAATAGATCAGTACATACAATGAAAGCTACAGGAACGTAGCCAGGGGCGCTCGGTGGGTTCGAAAGAACCCCCTTTTTGCCAGGAAAAGGTCCCCTCTGGGTAAAATTTTATCTAGGTACATGAAGGTTTCATGGTAAAAGGTCCACTTTTCAGAAAAAGAACCCTCATTTTGAAATTGCTTGCTAAGGGGCTGGGCTGTATATGTGTGTGACGAAAACGGCGGCAGATCAGGTGGTGAGGGAGAGTTGAGGCGGCACGAGGATAAAACTGTATAGTTCAGGGGCGAAAAATTTTCTCTCTCGTTTTTTTTCTTTTTTGTCATGCTTTTTGATATAGGATGGACAATTGGGTACTTTTGGAACAAAGCAGAGTAGGGCACGTGGACCATTGCAATTGATCTAATTGAGGGGTCACGCCAAGCAAACTCTCAGTAATCATTTAGACTGCCATATATTTACATAACTACTTACTTGCGTTAATTACAGTTCCACAGAACATTTGAGTCACAAGTACAAGTAAGAAGATTGCTGCAGCCTTCATTGTGTTGTTTTCTTCTGAAAAAAGAAACAAACAAAATAACCTGGTAACACCTGAGTATGTAATATAACCGTATAAATTTACTTTTACTTAAAATTACGTAAAATAGTCCGTTTGAAAGTGGTTACCTTCAAAGAACAATGATCAGGTTAAGGTTTTTACAAGCACTGGCGAATTTCACAGACTTGGCGTCTTAAGTTAAATATGAAGTAACGATTCTTACCTTGTATATCCCGAGTCACAGCAAGCGAAGCAACAAGATGACCGCGGGCAACAGAGACCGACACTCTTATAGCGCCTTACTCACCTGATTAGGTATCAAAATAGCGCTCTCTTATTGCCTCCTTTATTTGATTTACACCATGAAGGTGATAAGGCTATCGTGATTATCACACCAGTTACTTTTGCTCTGCTGACTTCAAAGCTTAACATCAAAACAGGCTAATTGTAACATTTAGACAGTGTTGATAATATGTGGATATTCACAACAATCCGCTTCTTTGATTAGATGATTCTGCATGGATGTGTGCCGTTAGTACATGTCACCATGATTTGACTTCTTACATCTCAGTCATACACGCAGTAACGTAAAATACACTAATATACTAGAGTTGGTACATGTAGCATCAAAAACATCTTGAAATACAAAGTAACACTCGTACCCGTTAAGATCTTTTAAAATGATGACAAAAAATAAAAAAATGTTTTTGTCTGTAGAATTCTAGTTCAAGGGACATGGGTTGCTTTTAATCAGTGGATTAGCCATACGAGTGCTTGCCAGTCGTGAGTGTAATGTGCAGCCTTGTCCTTGACATCAAAATGAACAGATAATGAGCATTCAGTGGATCAAATCTTACAGTGTCCACAAGCCTGAGTACTGGTATTATAGTTATGTCATTGGGTACAGTTTTCATTAAGTAAACAGTATATGATAAATGTCTCAGTTTTACGGGAGCACAAAGCCACAATTTATTCTACGCCGTTTTACATAGAAACTTATCTCTAACCGGTTTGGTGTAGCTACATACAGAGAAATCTCGCTGTCCTTCTGTGGAGGTAAGGCCTGCGTAGAGCAGACGTGATATCTCTTCAGCCGCTCCCTTAACAAAATATCAGGCCTACCGCAAACACTCTTGCAATTTGCTGCAAATTTGCGAGAACATGAATATCTTGTAGCAAACTCACTCCAAACTTAGGAGGTTCTACCAAATTTGCTTCAAATTAGCAGCAATACAACTCTTTCTCGCAAACTCCTGCAAACTGTTGCTGCAAAATTTTAGCTGCTAACTTTTCATTTTACTGAGGGATGTACCATTGTGATTCTCAATAAGCTTCTCTGGGTGAAACGATATATATCCACATGTAATGGGACAGACTACGACTCAAAGGTTGCTATATTTACCTGTGATACTTGAAGTGATCTGCTCGAGATCAGATGCGCGCTAGAGAATCCAGTTTTATGACCAGATTTATTAGATTTATTCCAGAATATCCTTTGTGGGGTTTTCCTTGCCCAGTGCGTTTGGGCACCAGTCAAGGTTATGGCCTCTTTGTAACCCCACAAATGAAATTTGTGCAAAATTGTTGGTAAATAATAACTTTTGCTGACTCGTCGCATCATAATTTGTAGGATGATGAGTCTTATTGAATATTTGATATATAATTTTTATCCCTAAGGCCATAACATTTAATACAGGCAATAATTTGCTACATTGTTATTAAATGCACTTGTTCTAAAAGCCAACACATTCTTGTATTAAACTGCAAAAAAGTTAATAGATCAAGTTGCAATAGTTGAGATGCCTGACGCGTACCATTGTATCTCTTTATAAGTCAGAGGCAATATTTCTGCCACTGAAAAAACATATTTTAAGTTTAAAGTGAACACACGACTGTAGTAATTAATTCTTCGATGTAATGTTTTATAACTGCAAAAAGAAGATTGTTTTCGTTTCTTTTTACATACATTTCAATTTTTTTTCTAAATTAAAAAAAATATATAATAATAATAAATGTTGTCTGCAATTGCAACTGCAAGGGCCAATTAAGTAATACAATAAATGCATGCGTGGCTTATCTATCTATCTATCTATCTAATGATAATAATAATTATTGAGTGTCATCTGCAAAATAACTGTCTTAAGATTGTGTTTGGAGATGACATCCTCAAGGGGCACATACCCTAGGTTCTACATTTCGGTTTTGCCAGCTCGATCTTGATTTCATATATAACCCATTCCAGCAAACCTGTGAAGCTATCCCATGAAAATGTTTGAATAGTTAGCAAGCTAGCTTTACAGTGGCCCTGATACTCAGGGCAGGGGCACAGTGCATGAAGTGAAAAAAGTAAAGGGCCCAGAACTGACCCCTGAGGAACACACTACAACATGTACGTAAGAGTTTCTGGGTCAGATAATAAGGACTGGATTGCTACTCCTTGTTTCTTTTCATGTGAGTGTAGAGTGTAGCCAATCAAGCATCACTCCTTTATACCAAACTGATACTGCAGCCGCTGAGGTAAAATATTGTTGAAAGATCCATGAGAACTAAAATGACATTACAATGAGTGTAAAATGAAAACATTGTATCATTGTGAACCCTCATTAAGTGTTATCAATAAGCTCGCCCCGGTGTTTATCAGTTTATCTGAGGCTATCCTCAGAAAAAAATAAATAAACGAAAGAAAGTTGGAATGCAGTAATGCGGAAATGCACTGGGTACACTGCACAATTGTCTTAGTTAGCATTATATCTACATTGAGTATAAAATTTATTTCTGTGATGCTTTAATTACCATCAATTCATTTGTCCTCATCCTAAAATCAGAATTTAAAAAAAAACTCTACTATAAATATGCACGCCTCTGTCATTTCAAGTATATAATACAGATTGTATTGTATAAGACATGGGCTGATAATATACAGGTGAGTTGCCAGTCACCCGTGAAATTCAGGGTTCATGTACATGTACTGTACGCCAGTGGTTATCCCGACGGTGGCAAAAATAATGAGAAATATAATGAATAAATAATCGTTATTAGTCTTGTCAAACTTCAAATAAATAACTCATTCAACGAGCGTCCTTGAAACATCTTATTTCCTGGATAATAATGTTGTGCTTTGGGATCCTGTACTGTTTTTGGCACTCGATACATTTTATGCATACTGCATACGGGTTCCCATATAATACTAGAAGTAAACACTACATGCATGCGTTTCTATTTGGAAAAAACACCAAGACAAATATATTTTCAACACGTTACATCTCAATGTGCATCCAATTGCTTCACCACAAAATACAGGATAATATGATATTTGTTCTTTAAATATGGAAATATTCAGTGGCAGCATGAAGATAATAAAATACGACAGGCCAGGATCTCGTGTGTGTATATCATTTCGTTGCATCTCAGTTTTCTTAATCTGTGTTTACTTGGCTAAATAAAACATCCAGCAGGCCATACAAGATAAAAAAAATACCTCTGCGATCTCGACCACATGGTCATTAACGCTGGATATGTCTTTCATCGGCATTATTTTCTAAAATTTAATTGGTTTAGTATAGTCTGGTTATATGTGATATGGACGACCTCCGTGTTTTAGCCATTTTCTGGGTTATATTTGCGTTACGTTACTACATATTGTGCAGGCAAAGAAATGGGATAAGCAAGAAAATTGGTTGCATCCGGCCAGCATCTAATATCAAACAGCCCGAAAATGACAAAATATTGCAGATAATCTCAATTCTGTTTATTATATTTCATTTAATTAAAATCATACTTGGTGACAGAATGTTGAGACAATATTGATTGCCGTTTCACTGCGGACATTCCTCCCTGCTCTTCACACACTGGGTGCTGGTCTCGCTGACCCGGATTTTCTTGTCCTGGGGGCAAGCACAGCCAGAGACACACATCATGATGCAGAACAACTGTTCCTCTTTCCCGCAAACCGGCGGACACGCGGTACCGCAGGAGTACCACTGCAAATCCCCCGGACATACCGGTATTTTAGGCCGATTGGATCGCACCAACTTCTTCCCTTGATATGAAGCGTACAGTACTAAAGCATACTCATATGGTTGAATTTATCGTCACCATGTATCAATTAGGTGATGAGAGATTAGTTTTCAAAGAAAAAATTGCGAAAAAACTAATCAAAAACTTGGAAGGCAAATCAGCTTTATACAGTTGCCAGTGGTTAAAATTGACTACACCCCAATTAACGTTGGACGTCACTTATGGTACTTCGTACGCGTAGGCCTACTTACACATCACACAGTCTGTCCCAACTGTTAGCAAAACTACCAAGACAATCACGATCTTCATTGCATCAGTGTTCACCTGAAATATATGCAATGGTTTGAAATACACGATAGAAAAATACATGGGATGGCGTGAGATTATAATTCTTATGCAAAGTTTTTTTGGTAAATTAATTTTTCAGTTTGCATAAATGCATTTTTTCGTCAATTTTAACAAATCATACATATTTTATTTTAATACTTTATGTTAAAAAAGGAGATAGCCTGAAGTGGCAAGCATGTTTGAAGTTTGCGACCAAAGGAAATAACACAAGAAAAAAGATGAGCATAAACTAAGAACATGCGTCTGCCAAAACGGTTCCGCTGGTAATAAAATATTTTGATTCTTCAAATATCTTGGTAAGGTAATCTGGAATAAGTGTATGGCATGAGCGACAGACTTCCTGTTCATATTACCAAGCCTCTCAACAAACAAGCATAAAATAGTACTATAGTACAGTAGGTCATTTTTGTCACACTTCGTAGTTACCGTAGTGAATATGACATTTTGACAATCATAAATTTAATGAGACTAGGCAGGTAGTATGCGACGATGCTGGGTGGAACGTGACGCTTTTGTCACCCAGTTACATAATGAGCGGAGTATTCAAAGTGCAATATTAATGTTTATTTTGACTTTTAACTCGGCGTGTCATTACATAAAGTCCTTGCAATCAACAACGGTCGGAGAGTGAGAGGCCAGAGTGAATTTTTAAATTGCAAATCGATCAACGTGCATATGACATCAGCGCTCAACTTATCAACAAAATTAAACTTTATTGTGCAAATGTAGGTATATGTTGTTGTATGTGTTTTAATACAAACAATGACCCATCGACTTAACACAAAGAAATGTTTTAAATATTACCTTCACCCACCGTTGCAATTTCCAAACAGCCTGCTGATCTTCGCGTGTGTGTCTTCAATAGTGACCCTTTCAAGTTTGCTTTAAACTGATCAGAAACCAGAGCTATCGACAATATGTTACAGTCGTCTGTACTTAAATGAGTATATAAGGACACAGTACACGTGATCACCATTCACCGCCCTTGAAAGATTACATCCTGACAATGCTATCTCCTAATCCAGCTCAAATGTACACGTATTCTGCACAAGATTATTCTGTTATATCATTCCCTGTAATGAGTTATAAGCATAACCCTGGAGACAAAATTGAATTATACATAAAAGCATAACGCCAATTTTGTGTCATACAAAACTGGCATCTAAAATGGATAATTTGTCTCTGCGTTTTAGCCCTTTGCTGTGTTGTATTTGCATTACGTTGCAATGTATTGTCCAGGCATAGTACTTGGGTAAACAAAAGAAGATTGATTACATCCAACCAGCATCTTATATCATAAAGCCCGAAAATGACACAACATTACAGATAATCTCAATTCCGTTTATTACATATCATTTTAATTAAAATCATACTTGGTGACAGAATATTGAGACAATATTGATTGCCATTTCACTGCGGACAGTCCTCCCTGCTCTTCACACACTGGGTGCTGGTCTCGCTGACCCGGATTTTCTTGTCCTGGGGGCAAGCACAGCCAGAGACACACATCATGATGCAGAACAATTGTTCCTCTTTCCCGCAAATCTGCGGACACGCGGAACCGCAGGAATACCACTCTAAATCTCCCGGGCATATTTTAGTTGGCTCGGTTGGTTTCAATTTCTTCCCTAGATGTGAATCGTAAAGTATTCTCACTTGGTTGTATTTGTTGTAAGTATGTATCACTTAGTTGGTAAGAGACTCGTTTTCAAAGAAGAATGTCAGAATTCTAATATAATATTGGAAGGCAAATCAGCTATATATACTGTTGTCAATGGACAAAAATGACTTCGCCCAAATCAAAACCGTTACTAATGGCACTTCTTACTTACGTCTGCAGTCTATCCCAACTGCCAGTAAGAGTACAAAGACAATTACAATCTTCATCTTATCAGAGTTGACCTGGAATTATAATGGTTTGAAATAAACTATATACAAGACGCATGAGATATGGCATTAGATTATAATTCTTAAGCAGTTTTTCCGGTAAATTACTTTTTCATTTTGCATTTTTGCTTTTTCTTGCAATTTTGACAAAGTAAAAAAGTTTTATGCTTAACATTTGATGCTATAATAAATGAAAAATCTGAAAGTGCTAAGCATGTATGAAGTTCGTGGCCACAGGAAATAAAGGTTGAATGCATAATATGAAGCTGCATAATGCATATGTTTGTGTTGTGATAAGATTGTTTCTGATACATGTATTTGACAAAAACTAGGGGTTAAAATAGAGAATCAAATTAATGCCATTGTGCTAATACAGCAAGAAGGGATCCGATTTTCAATCTTTCAACAACAAAGTATCAAGTAAGACGCAAGAACAAATATGTGCATGTACTAAGAACATGTGTCTGCCAAAACGGTTCTACTGGGATTAGAGTAAAATATCTTGAATCTTAAAAAAATCTTGGTAAAATAATCTGGGAATAAGTGCATGCGTGATATAAACGACAGGCCTCCTGTTCATGCTCACAAGCCTCGAAACAAACAAACAAACAAACAAACAAACAAACAAAAAACATAAAATAGAACCATAGGAAATAACTGCGGAAAATTGTTGACTGATCTGGGTCATTTTTGTCACACGTTGTAGTAACGGTAGTAAATATGACATTTTTGTCAAGTATAAAGTTAATGAGACTAAGCAGGTAGTATGCGACGATGCTGGGTGGAACGTGCCGCTTTTGTCACTCAGTTATATAATGAGCAGAGCATTCAGACTGCAATATTAATGTTCATTTTTACTTTTAACTCGGATAACAACGGTCGGAGAGTGAGAAGTCAGAGTAAAATTTTTAATTGCAAATCGATCAACGTTTGGAAGTCCATAGGTCTTTAACGATCAACTGTCCCACAAAATTTAACGTTTTTGTGTAAAGCAAGTTATTGTACGTATCGAAATATGAAATAGGCACCGTCGACTAAACACAGATGAATAGTTATAAATGTTACTATCACTCACCGTGGCAATGTCCAAACAACCGATTGATTTTCGTATTTGGTTTCAACAGTGACCCTTTCAAGTTTGATTTAAACTGATCAAAAAACAGAGTTATCGACCATATGTTACAGTTGTCTATACTTGAAGGAGGATATGCCGGCGCAATATCACATGACACAGTACACGTGATCACCAGTCACCGCCCTTGATTACATCATAAAAATGTCATTCACTACTCCAGCTAAAATGTACCCCGCAAAAGATGATTCTGTAATGTATCGCTCCCCGTAATGATTCCCAAACATAACCCTGGAGACAAAATTAAATTATACATACAAGCATAACGACAATTTTATATCATACAAATCTGATATCTAATAAGGATCATTTGTTGTCGTCTTTCTGTGTTGTATTTGCGTTTCGTTACTAGAGTACTGAGGTAAACAAAATCAGCATCTTATGTAATAAAGCCCAAAAATGACAAAATATTGCAGATAATCTCAATGCTGTTTATTAAAATTCATTTTGATTGAAATCATACTTGTTGACAGAATATTGAGATAATAGTGATTGTCGTTTCACTGCGGACATTCCTCCCTACTCTTCACACATTGGGTGCTGGTCTTGCTGATCCGGATTTTCTTGTCCCGGGGACAAGCACAGCCAATGGCACACATCTGGATGCAGCGGATTTGCTCTTTTTTTCCCGCAAACCAGCGGACACGCGGTACCGCAGTAGGACCACTCCAAATCTCCCGGACATAAGCTTGATAGGTAGGTTGGCCCCAATTTTTCCACTAGATTGAATTAATTTTTTTAAAAAAATATGAAGTACAAAGTATACTCGTTTGGTTTTATCTATTGTTATTATTCACATTACGGTTACAAAAGACTCGTTTTCAAAGAAAGGTTTAGAAATTTAATTTTAAAAAATTGGAAAGAAAATTAGTTTTATACAATTGCCGTGAGACTGGTTTTCTTAACCGCTACTAATGTTACTTCTTACTTACGATTGCAGTCTATCCCAACTGCTAGTAAAAGCACAAAGACAATCACGGTCTTCATCTTATTAGTGATGCCTTGGAATTACTGTTTGAAAAAAAAAAAACGAAAGACAAAACACATAAGATGACATAAGATTATATTTTTTATGCAAATTTTTTATCGGTAAATTAATTTTTCAGTTTGCATATATGCTTTTTTTCGTCAATTTTAACAAACTGTAGATATTTCATCTTAATACTTGGTGCTAAAAAAATTAGATAGCTGGAAGTAGCAAACATGTATGAAGTTGTGGTCACAGGAAATAACCCAAAAACTGCTACGTGTATGCACTATGAGCGAGCACTCGTCTGCCAAAACGGTTCCACTGGAAATAAAATATCTTAAATCTAAACATATCTTGGTAAAGTAATTTGGGAATAAGTGCATGTATGACATAAGCTACAGGCGTCCTGTTCATGATACCAAGTATCTAAACAAAGAAAGTGTGAGATAATACACTGTCACCCATGCGATATATGCCATAACACCTCGAGCGTCAGCGACAGATGTTCATGGCATACATGTATATCGCGAGAGGGTGACAGTGTATTATTTGACATAAGCCTACATACCGAGAACAAATATAGTCATTTCACCCTAAAACACCCCTATAATCGAATAAAGTTACCCTATATATCGATCTAGAGATGCTATATGGAATAAACTCGACCACGTGCACTGGTCACCTACCGCCAAATTCTTACGTAATTTCTGACCAATTTTGTCAATTTTTGCTAAATACGTGTTGTGGAAGTGCAACTCGCTTGAACAGTATTTAATCAACCGTCGACACCGCCCATGCGCGTCTCAGCTGAGCCACACCTAGCTGGGACTGCTGCAGAAAAAATGTCCCAAGGCAAATCCATTTCTTTTTAGTGACATTTCTGATAAACAAGGAGCGTCGGATCGGAATAAAGTCAAATTAATTTTTCACAAGTGCAAAGTAGAAAGAAATTTACGCTTTTGGAATATTTCTGACAACGAGGCAATTTCGGGATATAATTAAAGTCAGACGGATGTTTCTTACAAGTCCACAGGAATAATAATTCTACGTTTTAGTGACGTTTTTTACTACGAGGCGGTTTCGGAATATACATGTGCTGGTTTTCAGAGCATACATGTGCTACATGTAAGTACAAGTCCAAAGGGATATTACTGATAAAGAGGAAGAATGAATAGCTTAAAAACAAAAGGTACATAACACAACCATCGTTAAAATATTTTTCGTATGCACGTGGGGTTTAAATGTAAAATAATTCCCGTTTTCAAACCATACCCATATGATATGACTTAGTGTAGAAAAATGATAAATAATAATTATTGAACATTAAAAGTTTATGCCGATTTTTAAGAGTGTGAGAGATTTTTAATTTGTCTAGGTATAAAACGCAAGCAAAGTCGCTATTCTCTTGATGCCAATCTACTGATTTAACCAAGATGTAGTTGGGAAGTTCTAGACTACATCGAGGTTAAATCCGAGTTTTCCAAGAGACTCTACGCAGAAATGTTGAGTGAAGCGAGATATTTCTGGGTAGCGGCTCGAGGTTGCCCTCGATCTTCACTGAAGCTTATCTAAATGGACAGGCTTCAGTGATCAGCATATCGCCACGGTCACATAACATCCCTAGGTATGTATTATAAGATACATAAGATGTATCATAAGATAAGTCTCTCGGAAAACTCGGATTTTATCTCGATGTAGTCTAGAATTTCACTACCACATCTTGGTTAAATCAATGGAGGTTTCTAAAATGCTGAAGATACATGAAATGTATCATAAGAGCTAGGCCATAAACTGGGGTTGAAAAGGCCAAGGAAAACGCACAAGGGAAAATGAATAAGGGGTATATCCTCTTTGCAACCCCACAAATGAAAATATTTGCAGTATTTGTTTTGATATTTATTTTTAGATATAACATTACGTAATTTTAACATTATCTAATGCTATATGCCTATAATATCGAACACCATTCTTTACTAGTGAGACCTTTCAATAAAAGCGGCCCGCTACCGGCCAAATTTCGAACACTATATTTGCGTTCGTCCTTTACTTATCCTTTCGCTTGGGTTAAAGAGGAGACATACTTGTAAATGTTCATTTTGACTTTTTAAAAATTAACTTTAAGATAAGGATAGCAAGAAGCCAGAGTTAAATTTTAAATTGCAAATCGGCCAACGTTTGCAAATCCATATGACATCAGCTTTCAACTTATCAACAAAATTAAACACTATTGTGTAAATGTATGTACATGTGCAGGTACTAGTATATATTGTATTACAAACAAGGACCAATCGATTTAACACAAATGAATGTTTTTAATGTAACTATCACCCACCGTTGCAATTTCCAAACAGCCTATTAATATTAATCCTAGTGCGTGTCTTCAACAGTGGTCCTTTCAAGTTTGAATTAAACTGGTCAAAATCCAGTCATCGACCACATGTTACAGACGTCTATTATACTTGAATGAGCACAGGATTCAAACAACTGCGCATGCGCGAAAAATGCGCTGTTTGAAATTTAAACAAGTTGGTGAAATTGACAAAGCCTTCCGGTGTTTTCCGTCTGGGTGATTTTATCTAATTTGCTCTCTGGTGTCTTTCTGAAAATTCATATTAGAAATGTTCAATTGATTTTATGTTTAAAAAAGAAAATCCATTGGACTTCCTTAGAATTTTTTACCTTCATTACAAGGGGATTCCCATGGTGTTAAATGTGGCCCCAATGGGGATTTTTCACCCCTCCCCCACTCTTGATAAATAAAATGTTCCATGAGACAGATTGAAAATGACATTGCAAAATGCATTTAAAATCGTAGGAAGGTTAATTGCAGATAATGCTGCGAGGACATTCTTATGCGAGGGCGAACTCGGCCAATATAAAATTTTTAACTTCGTTTAATGTGTTTGGAGCGCCAGTTCTAATTCTTTTGAAATCGAGGCAATGGCACCAAACAATACAATTTGTAGTTTCGTAAAAATTGCTTTTTTTAAATATAAATCATAGCACGAAGTACATCAACTTTTTTATCATTATGATCTTCAATAATAATTTAAAATATAAAATATGCGATATAATAAGTATTTTATTCTCGGCCAATTTATTAACTTAATTGAATTTATTTTAGTATTTGGAGATTTAAAACACAAAATTGTCTGGTTCCATATCGAGGCACCACGTATTGTTCGTGTGCTACTTAAATGAGGATATGCTGGTGCAATATCACATGACACAGTTCACGTGATCACCAGTCACCGCCCCTTTGAAGATTACGTCATGGCGATGTTATTTACTACTCAATGTACCCTGTACAAGATGATTCTGTTATTTTGCTCCCCGTAATAATTTCCAAACATTAACCTGGAGACAAAATTAATTATACATACAAGCATATTATAACGACAATTTTATGCCATACAAAACTGACATCTAATATGGATCATTTGTCTTCTTTTTGCTGTGTTGTATTTGCGCTCGTTACTAAAGTACTTGGGTAAACAAAAGGAAATAAAATGGATTGCATCCCGTCAACATCTTATATCATAAAAGCCCGAAAATGGCAAAGTATTGCAGATAATCATAATGCTGTTTCTCAATGCTGTTTATTATATTTCATTTTAATTAAAATCATACTTGGTGACAGAATATTGAGACGATAGTGCTTGCCGTTTCACTGCGGACATTCCTCCCTACTCTTCACACACTGGGTGCTGGTCTCGCTGAGCCGAATTTTCTTGTCCCGGGGACAAGCACAGCCAGAGACACACACCTGGGCGCAAAGCAATTGCTCCTCTTTCCCGCAAACCGGCGGACACGCGGAACCGCAGGAATACCACTCCAAATCTCCTTGACATATTTTACTTGGATTGTTGCTCACCAACTTCTTCACTAGATATGAATCGTAAAGGAAAATATTAAGGACTCAAGTATACTCTTTTGGTAGTATCTTTTGTTTCTATGTATCATTAAGAATTGTAGAAATCTAAAAAAATGGAAGGCAAAGTTTATACAATCGCCAAAGGACAAAATGGACTTCACCAAAATCAACGTCGGACTGCATGGTTTTCTAAACAGCTACTAATGGCACTTAATTCTTACTTACACGCGCAGTCTATCCCAACTGCCAGTAAAACTACGAAGACAATTACTATCTTCATCTTATTAGTGTTGACCTGAAAATATAATGGTTTGAAATAAACGACTGAGAAAACACATGGGATGGCATTATATTATGATTCTTATGCAAATTGTTTTGGGCTAAATTAATTTTTTTAGTTTCCGCAAATGCTTTTTTTTAATTTTAAAAAATCCTAGATATTTTATCTTAACACTTTTTGCTAAAACAGTGAGATAGCTGAAAGTGACATGCATGTATGAAGTTTGTGATGACTGAAGGTAATTACACAAGAACAATTATATGCATGCACTAAGAACATGCGTCTGCCAAAACGGTTCCACTGGGATAAAAATAAAATATTTTGATTCTTAAAATATCTTGGTAAGGTAATCTGGGGATAAGTGCATTTATGACATAAGTGACATGCTTCCTGTTCATGCTACCAAGCCTTTCAACAAACATGCATATAATAGAGCCATAGGAAATGACTGCGGTAAATTTTTGACTAATCTAGGTTATTTTTGTCACACTTGGCAGTTACTGTAGTGAATATGACATTTTGTAAAGGAACAATTTAATGAGACTGAGCGGGTAGTATGCGACGATGCTGGGTGGAACGTGTCGCTTTTGTCACTCATATAATGAGCGGAGCATTCAATGTGCAATATTAATGTTCATTTTTACTTTTAACTCGAAATGTCATTACATTAAGTCCTTTTAGATAACAACAGTCAGAGAGTGAGAAGTCGGAGTTAATTTTTAAATTGCAAATCGATCAACGTTTGCAAGTCTATATGCCATCAACGTTTATCTTATCAAAAAAAATTAAACGTTATTGTGTAAATGCAGGTAAATGAAAAATAACGTATTGTAATACAAACACCGACCCATCGACTTAAATCAAATAAATGTTTATTATATCTATCACCCACCGTTGCAATATCCGAACAGCCCGTTGATCTTCCCGTTGGTCTTCAACAGTGGCCCTTTCAAGTTTGATTAAAGCTATCGACCATATGTTAAAGTCGTTTATACTTAAATGAGGATATGCTGGCGCAATATCACACGACACAGTACACGTGATCACCAGTCACCACCCTTAAAGATTACGTCATGGTAATAACATAAAATATCTTGAATCATAAAGGGAAGTTTGGCGTAGACAAGCGGTGTTTTATGGCGATTAACTTAATTTATTTCATGGGNGGTTCATAACACATCGTTATAGCCATTTGCTTTACTGAATTTGTGGAAATCAGCCTCTAAGGAGAATGAAAATAAAGAGAAATCGTATCCGGCCAACATTTTACATCACAAAGCGACAAAACATTGGAGACAATAATCTAAACGTTGTTTATTATATTTCATTTCCATTTTAACCACACTTGTGGACAGGATATTGAGACAATAATGGTGACCGTTTCACTCTTCCTCCTCCTCCACCTCCTGCGGGCAGTCCGCCATGCTGGCCACGCACTGGGTGCTAGTCGCAGTGACCCTGACCATGTCCTTGGGGCACGCGCAGCCAATGACACACCTCTTGTGGCAGGTTTCTGGTTGCTCTTGTCCACAAACCGGTGGACACGTGGAAGCGCAGAACCTCCACTCCAAATCCCCTTGACATCGAATAGGAAAATTGGTTGGTCCCACAACCTCTCCTTGAAAAATAACAATAATGAGTGCAGATTGTCATTGTGACTCATTTGGTTGTACATGTATTCAGTGGGATCATTGGAAATGTAAAATAAGGTTCTAGTTGCTAAAAATCTAACCAAACATTGAAAAACAAACAGTTCTGTACACCTGTTGATAAACAACAAAAACAATTGACTTTATCCATATCACCGTAAAACTTTATTTGCTAAACTGATAATAATGTCATAAGGTGACTTACTCCTACCGGAACAGTCTGTCCCAACTAGTAATACAACTAACAAGGTAATCACGATCTTCATCTTAACAGTGTTGATCTGGAAATATAACCATCTAAAATAAACGAAAACCAAAATCCATCTGGGTTAAGATAAAATTTTTTGGCTTAGTTCGTGGTGTTGTGATGTTTACCTCAAACATTTTGATTTGAAATGAACAAATGAATACGTTTAAACCATGGTGATTTCGTTTAAACGCTTCACCTCAGTTTTAAATATTTTCCACCAGAATTGCAGTCTTAAAGGTATGATAAATTGTTTTTCGGTGGTCCTTCATTTTGACTATTTCTTGAATATGGATGAGTTAATATGATATACGGGTGCATATGCATGTAAAATCTGAATTGATTTGGGGTCCAAACCGCAAAATATAAACACAATGTGGCACACAGTGTAAAAGCAACTCTCTAGATTTTGAGCAAATCATTTCTTAACCCTATGATCGACCTATGATAGTTTTGCACATCATAAGAAAGAAGTGGTAGAAAGAGTGGTAGAAAGGTAGAAAGAGTGGTAGATAGTTCTGGGATGAATCCTTTTTGATTTAGAATCAAAACATCAAACTGGTGAATGGTTGATACGTAAGAGCCATATTCTTTGTTTTGCAAGTCGTGTTTAATAGGGTTTGTCCGACCTGTTGTCTGCATTAATATGAATCCACGTACGCACAGGTGCCAGGCGAAAAAGGATTTGCGGGCAATGTACGAGCCTAAGACTGCTATATGCATTTTCGTATCCACGAAACTTAAATGTAAGGTGTTACTATTTCATCCTGCGATGTGAATCTTTTTCCTTGAATCGCTTTGGGTCAGCCGTCATTTTTTAAATTTGAACAAAATTAAATTGTGTTTTATGAGCCAAGCAAAATCCTAACGACAAAAAATACCGCCTAGTCTGCAAATTGGGGACATCTGGCGAACACCCTGCTCATCAATATTATGGAATTCAAACGTAAAGGGCTAATCATATTATTTGGCTGGACTGTGACAAGCCAGTAGAGTGAATTAAAAAAACTTTATAGGATGATTTGCACCTTTAAAAATGCGTTAATTGACAGTGTTTTCAGACAATAGCATCTTCTTCCCCTCTCTATGAAAATTTTGGTCAGCTAATTTTAGAGTATAATTGATTATATTAATATAATTAATTGAAGCGATTTAGCGTGTGGTTGATCCCCGTTCAACTAATCGACAAAATAAAACGTTTACCCCACGGCCTCATGAACAAATTATCTGAATTTTGCCATTACTCACCCATTCAATTTCCAAATAAACAACAGATCGTCACGTTGTGCTTAAACAATAACACCTGGCTGTCTGCTTCACAAGGATCAAACCCAATGTCTCGTAAGACCAGATGTTAACTTCGCGTTTATATGTGAAGGTGTCTGCTGGTCTACTATCACGTGACAGAAGTTACGTCATCGCAAGAAAACGCCCTTTAACAATGATACCATATGACAGTGTTTTTTATGCCTAACATTCTAGTGTGCTTAGTATATGCACCGCTCTTAAAGTTGCATCAATTACATTGTGCATGCATCTACTTATACAAGTATTATCCTTCAACCAAAATTTACAATATATAGACATGATCAATTTTAGTGTCAGACTTAAGAAATAAATGATATATTTCTCAATGTTATGACCGCTAACGGCCTGACTGCTTGTTTCTAATCACGCACATATTTGGTTTTAAACGATATAAGGCATATTAATTACTCTACAATATAAATAAGGGGAAAGCATAGATTCCGTGCTGTTCAAACCAACCAATCGTTTTCCATGTGTCCATTTTCCATAGTCAATATCCGCAATGATAACTTCTAGGTTTCACTCAAGATTCAGTTATGATATTGGACGTCCAGTCTATTAAGCATGCTGGCGCTTACATTAATTCATCATCACAATGAAAAACCCTATACTAATAACATGATTACTTTTCATTCGACGCACGTGCTCATCTTTTGTTATATGTAGTTAAGGTATATTGTTTTAAACGCCAGTTTATTCTCTTAGATCAGGTAAGTAATAGACAGACGTTGGTAAGGTCTGTTGCTTATAAAAATATGCATATTTCTTATGACATTACATCTTACCATATACTCGTATTTGCTTATACACTTTGTATGAAATGAAAACGATGTTGATCTCACATCACAAACAGACTTTTTTTTGTAAAATACGACAGGATGGATGTACCTCCTGCCAGTATTGCACATCAAAGCCTTTGAGTCTAGACAATATCAAACAAAGATCGAACCAAAGTCAAAGAGATACAATTTATTCTTTGATCATTTTCATGAAAAGGGAAGGGTTAACATAATTATATATATGATCATGCATGGACAGTTTTGACTTATAAACATATTAACACACGTGACCATAAATGGACAGTTGTGGCTTGAAAACAGAGGTTGATTAACACAGCAACCGATAGTACATACATATGCATATTTGGCACGGTCCTCGCGCTTTAAAGGGGGAAGGCATAATTCAATGAATTTATAAATATTGCCATGCAGTTGTATTGACTTTGAGTTTGGTGTCTGACCAGATAATGATCATTTATTAGAATGTTTGTCTTGCGTCCAAATTAAAATCCAAAACACGATCAACAACGTACTGAACTCAACTTAGACAAACGGATTACTGTATATGTAGTTTATTAACATTAAAATAAATCACGTTTATGCAGATCGACAACATCACACCAATATTATATGATTATTTACTTAAGCAATAGAAAGCATAATATATATTCTACAAAGCGTTAGTTTTGACATTGGAGTGCATGTGTTACCACCTGAAACTGAATGCTCTCCCATACTTGTGAGTGTAATTTATTTTATAGGTTTTGCTTTTAAAGTCTAAAATAATAAATATTGAAAAAAGTTAGCCACACTAAATGTGTCAATTTTTCGTAAGTAGGCTATAAAAAGCGGAACAATTTGTAACTTTTAACCAATAAGAATGCCTCTATTGCCGTAATAAAGCTATTTTGACCTTGACTTTTATAATGAACTGTGTCATCTGCTGAGCAGTACTCGCTAGCGTTCTCCTAGCTCCTACATGTAGCTTTCCTTTTCCTAACAATAGTTACAAGGTAACAAAAGAGATGCGTCAATTTGATTGCTCCTATTGGATGGCTAACTCACGGCACTGATAGGAAAAATTGTTCCAGTCTAAGTATTCAAATCATGGCATAATTTCAAGGAATATATGAAGTCAATTACTTTTGAACATTTGGGATTTATAACACTTCTAATATTTCACACTCGCAAAAATGGGCTAGTATTTTCATTTGTGTTGGGAAAATATTGAAGTGAATTTGGACATAATACTTTTAGTAACCATGATTACAATAAAATAAAAATAATGAAATACATAAATCAAATTCCAAATCTATAAACCACATCGCAAAGAAAAAAGGTACCTGCAAACTAAACAATTATCACTAAACAAAATAACTTGGCTAGAAATTCAGATTTCAAATCTAATATTGTAAGTGGTAAAACTACCTGCGTAAGGATATATGTTACTCCCTCTACTTTTCATCCTTTAAAGTGCACAGTGGCGAATTCAGTAATGAAAGAGAGTTGGAATCGCTCCATCTTTGATGTAAAACGTAGCTATTATACACGTAGCTGTGACAATGTATAAATAAAAGCAGCGACCAAGGCGGGGGGAGAAGCCCAATTCTTTTTTATATATTTGAACTTGCAAGTTATGTTCCATATACGAGACTTACAACACAATTTGAATAGAGTTATTTAATCAGTTTGCCTGGCTTCTTAAATAAAAAAAATCGTGGGCGTAAGTTGTTTGTTTTGTTTAATGTGGGTAAATACAAAGTTAAACCATTTGCTTTATTGACCTTCTAGTTATAAGTAAAAAGAAAAATAAATCGCACCCGACCAACACCTATATCACAAAGTGACAAAAAATTGGTGACAATCTTTACGTTGTTTATTGCATTTCATTTTTGAACCAAACTTGTTTACAGAATATTGACACAGTAATGTCGGCTGTTTCACGCGTACTGCGGACAGTCCTCCATACTGTCCACGCACAAGATGCTGTTAGCGGAGACCCTGACCTTGTCCCCGGGGCACGCGCAGCCACTGACACACATTTTGTGGCAGCCTAATGGTTGCTTTTGCCCGCAAATCGGCGGACAAGCAGAACCGCAGGAATTCCACTCCAAATGTCCACGACATCGTTTTGGAACACGTATGGGTACATTGGACACTCGATGCACTAGAGGTTAATTGAAAAGAAAATATAGAATTATGAGTATTTTAATTAACATATCGCTATTGAGACTTATTGAATATACTTATTGCTATCATTGAAGTGATATAAAAGAACATAACAAAAATCTGACCAATTATGGGAAAGATAAAACGGTTTTATATAGCTGTCCTTGGACAAAAATAATTGCCCTTTTCCATGTTAACGTTGGATTCGTTTGATGGACAGAATAATAACACAAAGCCACGTACAACTACAGTCTGTTCCAACTGCTAGTACCACAAGCAAGACGATTACGATCTTCATCTTTTCAGTGTTGACCTGGAATATAATGATTTAATATAAAAGAATACCAAAATACCCCCGGGGCAGCAGTAGTGGCTCTTTCTCTCCCCCTTTCCTTCTCTGCCTCTCTCAGCCATATTATCCCAATACGTTGGTGCCACATCCCGGTTGAACCAACTCTTCTGACGTTTTTTCCGCTCAGAAAATGTCAATCGAACCTATTATTCATGCATGTAACTGATATTTTACCAAGGATATATTTAACGGACAGATTTGACGAATAAACAAAATTAAATGGTTTAAAAATTATTACTGCAAACAGTGTTTTTTTTTTTATTTTGTGTACATTACGCGTTGAATCAAGGCGTGCACCAACATAAAACACATTAGATAACAACTTAGAGGACAAAATTGCAAATGCATTAAATAAACAGGTTATTTCAGACAACAATGGCATCTTCTTCCAATCTTATGTAAGATTTGGTGCGTGAATTCTAAGTTCAAGTATGTTTAATTATATATGAATATATTTAACTGGATAGATATTAACGCGTGGTTGATCCGCTTTCAATATTAATCAACAAAATTAAACGTCCTCGATGGTACATATTCTAATAAAAACAGTCTCATCGACTGGACTACAATAGAATCATCTCAATTTTGCCATCACTCACCGTTGCAATTTCCAAATAGACAGCAGATCTTTGAATTGGGTACCTGTAATTCTGCCTTAAAGGATCAATACCGAATTCCCATAAAATGATAGACCGGACGTTAATGTCGAGTTTAAATATGCTGGTGCAATATCACGTGACAAAAGTCACGTCATCGCAAAGTATCACCCTATTACGACTTTATCACGGCATAACAACCCCATATTTACAAGATATGAACACTGATCAATTGTGGCCCAATACTTGAGAATAAAAGAATGCTGGCTGCACACTTGCTTTTATAAATTAGGCCACACTTTTTTATTTTTATGGATGACATCCTCTGGGTACCCCAAAATCGGTGCGAGAGGGCGAAAAAAAAAACAGTCCAAAAAAAAAAAATACTGCTTAAGTAAAGGAATGCTGTCAGTACACAGCTGGAAACACAAATTTTACCACAGAAACACGTATCAAACTAACAATATGTCTTTATCCATGCTCTCAAAATATTAAAGCATTGTGAATACTTCGTAGAAATGTAAAAAAAAAGTCATGAATAGATATACTTCTTATTACAAAATCTATTAAGGTTATTTCATGCATTTTGTTGGTATAGCAATCAATAAAACAAATGTCAAACAAACAGTGTGTCTTTATTTGTATTCTCAGAATATTAAAGCATTTTGAACACTTCAGAGAAATGTTTAAAAAATGATGCAAAGATATGCTTAATACTACCAAATCTATTAAAGGTCATTTCGGACGATGCCATTTTGTCTAATTCGACTCACACGGCCGAACTGTCAGGTGGCCTGTCCGACCTTCAGCCCACCAAATACCTCGACACCCTTGTCAACCCTTTTTTCGCTACAGAAAACCTGGTAGCCTATGTGCTGCTTTGTACTGAATGTCACTGACATTTTTCGGGCGATAATCGCTGGCGGCCGCAAGCCTTTCGCACAATTGTAAAAAGGTGATATCTCCATGCCCTATATCAATGGCATACCAATCCAAAACGACGGCACCCGTTCTCTTTATGACTTGAAAGTAATCCTAGAGATGAATTTGACGGCAAAGCGGCCATATTTCCACGTGGCGATAATACGCATGCGCAGAAAGCTCATTTCCTGGCAAATTCAATAACGATGTTTGCGACAACCGACTTCGTTGGGGGCTGGGGGGGGGGATTTTTTTTTTTTTCGGAGAACGGGCGAAAATCGGTGCGCGCGCAGGATGTCATCCAGAAAAATAAAAAAGTGTGGCCTTACATGTAAGGCATTAAGCGATATAAGGGACGGTACAGAATGATGGAATTATGAGAAGGCAGTCAAAAGAAAAGAATACTTTCAAGCCAACCGATTACTGAAATTTATTTCGAACTTTTGTGATGCACGTGATCGACAATGATTGCCCAGAAGCTATTCGTATGACACCCTTCTAAAAAGTTAAATACCTAATACCAAACACAGATATGGTTTCCAAATAGGCCCTTATAATTGAGGATACTTCGTACGTATGCTGAAATACCATAAGCATGTATGTATTTATTTCACACTTTGGTCTTGTATGAAAACTTCCAAGTTTCACTCAAGGTTCAGTTATAATATTGGACATCCAGTCTGTTAACGTTGTATACACGCGACAGTATGCTGATGCTTACATCAATTCGTCATCACAAAAACCCTACACCGATTATATGACTTTTTTTTATTCAACGTTTGTTCTCATGTACAGAGGCCTTTCCTAAGTTGTCATAGGTAGCTTAAGTTTTTGTTTAAAAAGCCGGTTTATGCTCTTAGTTCAGGTAACTAATAGACGGACATTGGTCACATCTGTCATATCAAAACTGTACATATTTCTAATTAAATGATATCTAACCACATACTCGTATTTGCTTACACGTCGTATATAATGAAAACGATTTTTATCTCACATTGCTTACACTTATTGTGAAATATGATAGGATGCTACATTATACATCGTACCAGCATGACACCTCAAAGTCCTTGAGGCTATAGACAAGATCAAACGAATATCTGAAACAAAGACACAAGAGATGCATTTTAGTTATCCTTTCATCGTTTCATCAAAAGGGAAGGGTTGATGTGTGTTAACATGAAATATGTATATATGTAACCATGCATGGGCAATTATGACTTACAAACCGAACCGGAATAACACAGCAACCGCTTGCACATACATATGTATTTGCCATGGTCCTCACTATCTAAAGGGCCACGCCCTCAATCCACACAATTTTAGAGGAGACGGAAAATTAAAAATGTTATCATGCAGTTGTTTATTGACTAGTTGTTGGGCTTTACAGTAATTTTTTGAAAAAATCACCATAAATTTGAATATAATTGCCCAGTATGTCTAGCGTCCATGATAAAATCCGGAACATGTTCAACTAATATCATACGATATTATTCGATATTATACGAACCCAACTTAGACACATACAATATATTTTGTTTACTAAGCGTTCAAACGAAACAGATGCAAATTTATGACTTATTCAAATTTATGACTTTATATCAATTAAATATTATTAAACACAAGCAACAGAAAGCATACTACCTTTACTATTCTACAATGCGTTAGTAGCGACATTGGACTGTACCTATTTGAGTTACCGCCTGAATTTTAAAGCATGTCAACGGCTGTTCTTACTCACATACCACGTAACATTTTGATCCCGCTGTTTTTGGGTTGATTGAACAGCAGCAAGTTACCTGCACCGTATGGTAATCATCTTATCTGGCAATAACCTTGTCTTGTCGTTTTTTTTGTTGTTTTTTTTGCTGACTTTATACAGAATTGTGTAAGTTTGGACATATAAGTGCTAGTTATAATGTCTTGACTTAAAATACATTTACCAAATTCTATATATATATATATATATATATATATATATATATATATATATATATATATATATATATATATCCCACATTGCCAAGGAAAAAAGGTACCCACAAATTGAAGAAAAACCATTAATCAAAATCATTGCATACAAAAATACAGGTTTCATATGGAGAATTGCAAGCTGTCAACCCCATGTGCTCTAGCCCCTGGTTCTTAACCATCACGTGCTTTGCATGCTGATCACTTCGACTCCACTCTAACTAAAATATTGATACACGGGTCCATTACATTAACCAACAAACCAAATAATCACAGTCTGTTTTCGAATTTAATTATCTACTTATATATTAAATAATTCTTTTTGACGTGAACATTCACGACAAGGCAGTTTTTAGACCAAAAGAATGTATTTTCGTTTGGTTGAATCGTTCCTCTTTGTGAAAGTTTTCATTTAAGGAACTAGCACTCCCCTCTATTTGTTACGCACCATGATTGTTATATTAACATTTTAACTCTCTCAATTGCCATTCCTTCCAATCATTGCTGGAATTGACTATGCTTCGTAGATGTCATTTTCCACGAAATGGACATGTTCGTCCTCGGACACATCAGTGGGAGAGTAGTTTAAATCACCCCCGTCCCCATATAGAGAATTCGTCACCAAGGTAACGTCGTTGTCACTCGAATAAATGTCATTAGTTTCATATTCCACATCGTCTGGAATGTCATTAAAGTCCCCAGCGACTTGATATATGGTAATGCCGTCGTTATCGCCGGCTTGTTTAAAGTTACTACCAGGTTTCCTGTTGGTGTCGCCACCTACCTTGTTTTTTCTACAACTCGGCTTTATCGGTTTTGAATACAACTCACTCAAATCAGTGGGATCTTCGTCCTGTGTAAACTGATCATCACTAGCGCCGTAATCCGGTTCGTTGGTTTTGCCTTTCCTTAGTTTCACTGGCTGTGCATACAAAGCACTCAGGTCCTTGGAGTCGAGCTGGATCTCTGAGGTGGCATTGGTGGCGTCATCGCACCCACTGTACATGGGGTTAACCATTGGTCGACCCTGAGGACGTGCCATCTCGGGTGATTGTGTCTTAGTTCGCCTAAAGGTATTAAACATTTTAGATTAATTTGAAGATGTGTGTATTTTACAACATAAAATCAATACATTCCAAAAAATTATTTTGACTGGCGAAACAATGAGACTGTAAAAAATGTTTATAAGTTTTTCCAATCACATTCTTTCCTTGCGTTATAGAGACTTGTGAAAAACCCACTCCAATAAAATAAAGGAGTGGATTATTTAGCAATAGTGATGAGGTCATTATATTTGTGCAAAATACCTTTCAGAGAAAATGGCTCAAATGCACGCCTTACGTATGTCACTAAATTTTTCCGAATAATGACTTTTATATCATTAAGATTACTATTCCTTCCATTGTACAAACGTATTTTGCATGCTATTTTTTATTTCCCTTATCTTATATTTCATAATTTATTTGATCTGCTTTGTACGGTGTATAATTAGTACATATATCTTCCATACAAAGTGTTTGATCCCGCACATCCATTATTGATTTTACCTTCTTCTGAGTACAAAGACCGTTACACCTGCAATAACCGCCAGCGCAAGAACCCCAGTGGCGCACCCAGCGGCAATACCAACTGCGGATGAACCTGTAATGTAATGTTTACAATTGAAATATGCCGTATGATTTAATAAAAAACATGATTCAAGTTGGCACCTGTAAAGGAAAGCTAAATAAAAAAATACCTTGACACATGTAAGATGAATATTAACACTTTCTGTCCAGCTCTCGTTTTTTTTCTATATTTGGTGTGAATGCATATTATTTTTACATTAGCAGGGTTACCTTTATCTGTTTGTCTTTCCTGGCCTCTGAAGTTGGCATCATCGACCCGAGATGTTGATGATCTGTCGTCTTAGAAAGAAAAAAAATCGTATAAAAACCATTTCTTTCACATGCAAAAAAGCAAAATACTACATTGTTATGAGACAGTTTATGTTCAGTTATTTGTGGTATTATGGAAAATAAAGTTTAACAAAATCCAATTACATTAACAATAAACTACTTAGACAATCCTACACACACACACACACACATACACATACACGCATATATATTTCTTTCTCTTAGTATGCGTGATAAACATTCGCTGACTTTTAGAATCCGTTGTATAATCCAGTCCTTTATTCACAGTCGATCTCAAAATCC